ACTTCATATCAAAAAGGTTGCCGACCCCTGGTCTAGAGTCAATTAAAACAAATAATTTCTGAAGCTTGTTCATCACTGATGCAGTGATCATGTTTGTAGGTTTTCAGAAAAGTGTAAATACGATTTTCAAAGATGAGTTTTTAACTTTTGTTAACTTGAACTAACCTAATTTCCTCTGTCCACAGTGCATCCTGCGGTGGTGATACGGCAGCGGAAGTCGTATCGGCGAAAAGATGGCGTGTTTCTCTACTTTGAAGACAATGCAGGCGTCATAGTAAACAACAAAGGAGAAATGAAGGGTGGGTTTGTTTGGATGTATAAGGACAAGAAGCTAAATATGCAGTAATTAAAACAGCCTTAAGGCATTGCGGATAGTCTCATGTACGCTGACTGTATGACATAGCCCCTCAGGTTCTGTCCTGTCGGACAGTAAAATGTTTCTCATCGATTCTCTCCTCTAGCTGAGTACCTGCTGAAATGTTACTGTTTTTGTTTGAAGTTGTGTTTTATTAAGATTGACTTTTTATTCAAAGTTTTTGGACCAGAATCAGTTATTACACCATAACATTTGCATACATAGTTTGATGTTTTCTCATAGAGGTGATACAGATAGATATTCCCCCTTCAAAAAAGCACTTGCTTGGTCGGCTCAGTGGCTGGGTGAGTTGTCGTAGAAGGGAATACTAACCCTCATCACTGTGGGTGAGATGGCAGCCTCTGTGGCTGACTAATCTCAATCAGTGATGAGACAACTTCAACCTGCCTGCTAAAACCAGGTCTCTGAAGTCTACGCCATATACGTGTGTTTATTACAGGAATTTAAAAAGTAGTCATTATTGGCACCAAAGGTACTTAAGATCTATGGCTCACATGGGAGCGTTAAGGCTAATTCTCACCCGCAGCCCTTTGATTCTGTTCTAATTCGGCAGTCACTTGTCTCATATATTTAATGAAGCATGTGGTGCTGGAATCAAACTAACTGTTCTCCTCTGTCTGCAGGTTCAGCCATCACAGGCCCGGTGGCAAAAGAGTGTGCTGACCTCTGGCCCAGGATCGCCTCCAACGCTGGCAGCATAGCCTGAGCTGACCCTGCCCTGTTTGTTTTCAATAAAAGCTGTTGGTAATCCAGCCTCTTGTTTTGCTGTTTTAATTTACCCTTAGGTAGAGGAAACGCTATTAACCTGTTTTTTCACGAAACTGTGTCTCAGGGCTTCTTAACATTTATGAAACTATTAATGTTCCATACTCACTTAACGGGAAGAAACTCTGCTAACTGACGATACGAACCATTTTTACCGAAACAAAACACAAGTCTCACAAGAATGAGCCCTGAGCGAAAAAATGCTATCGCACTTGGCACAGAACTCACGGCTTAAATACCCTTATTACTTATCGTATCAGCACAAACAATATATCGATTAGCAAACTGAGATTCCACGGATTCCAGAAATATAAGTATCACTGAGCGATCCGAACTCGCGACAGGGGAAGCGAAAACCCCTAAATCTCTCTAAAAAGGTCAAATTTCACTTGTTTTGCATCAATCTTGATACAGGGTACTTATTATGTTATAGTTTGGATTCCTAAAGCTTTTAGTCTACTAACCCATCATTCAAGGGTGGTTTTCACTAAAAGTAATTTTATATTTTTTTTGGACGGACACTAATTTACATTTTCTTTTTTACAATGTTCAATCTGAATTTACTTTAAAATAAAAAAAAAATCTATATTGATTCTGACTCTTCTTCATCCAACTCACAGGTTTATCATTGCTTTGAGAAAAAAGATTATTAATTTACCCCTTTTTAGAAGTGAAGTTATGGTCATTTGTTCTGGGAATGTCATTTTCGAGCCTGAGACCTGGAAAACAGGCTCTGGGCTTAATAAACAGGTTAAGGGAATGTAGTAAAAACATTGAAAGATGAGCCACTGATAAAATGCTCTGTCTGGATGTGGTACAGTTGTGAGACTTAAATTCCAGTTAGTATTACATGCGTTGACAAATAATCTGCAACTAGGTCGCCGTGTCTATAATTGTAATGGTTAACTGCATCTTCCACATATGTTTACAGGTTTGATATAGTATTCATTATTTAATATAGACATCACTTTCCCTGCTATGGCAATATGGCTTGAAGTTATGTGAAAGGAAATCTGTTAATGTGCTGTAATTGTTATATTGTGAAACTATCCTGTATGAATATAGTTCCAAATGCATTATTTACTACATTGCTTCTCTCACCAAAGTGATTATCCTACAATTAGAGGGTGTAGTAAACCTTACGAGTGCTAGACAACTGTCTGCTAGATTTTATTTCACAACCTATATTTCAGATTAACTTCTGTACAGCTCTTAAATAATACTTACTTACAGATGAGAAAGGGTTGTACACATTTTAAAAGGGTGGTAAGACAAGCAGTAAGACTTATCACTAGGATCACTTATAACCAGGGGTGCATATAACTGGTACGCATGCGCGGCAAAAATCTGGAATGCGTACCACTACCGTCACAAAGCGCATTTGCTTACCGACGTACTTGTGAAGCTTTTCCAGAAGGCGGTTAGATCACCGGACGACAGAGTCGGTCTCCGTGTGCACAGACGGGGCTGCTGTTAACGTCGGTCTGTACAACGGAATTGTACTCTGTCTCTGCCCTGAGCACACTGGAGAACTGCGCAAAAAGAAGTTGGAGTACCAAACACTGACTCCAGGACGGTACCAGAAAGTTATGTGCACCCCTGCTTATAACCCAGGAATACGCAATATGTTGGGATGGTTCAAAGTGCATAGAGATCTTTGAATAGAAAGATATTCACTACAAAATAAATGTATGACAATCTGAGATTAACAGGAACAATAACATGTACTTGTACATGTCTACTGGCATGTATTTGTGATGTTACACATACCATCTGTTAATCCAGGTAGTATGCAAATGAATTTTTTTAGCCTGCTGTCATTCTCTCTTCTGTAAGTGTGGGGGGGGGGCCTACACGCTGTGCTTCCAGAAGGAAAGCAGCATGTTACCATCTGCACCAACACTTTCATGCAGCCCCTCTTTGCTTACTGTACATCACCAATGCATTCCTCACACCCATGACTCCATCACTGCAGCCATTCTCCCACACAGAATGACAGTAGGCAGTGTGCGAAATATCCGTCAATAATCGGGGGGGTCCCTCTTCAGGGGTGCCGTCAAATCATTCTGTATTCTGTAATACGCGACCGTTAAAGAGCCGTCTGTTTTCGATTCTATGCGAGGACATGATTTTGCCAGCCAAAATAAAAGATATTTGTGAATAAATGTTTTGAATTATGAATACTGGACATAGTAAGCTTAAAAACATTTTAGTGACCATTGCAAGTGACAAATATTATAATTTGAGACCCCCCTCAAATGTTGCTGTTTAGGCTTTCAGGGGGGCTCAGGTGTTAATCAGGGGGGTCGAGCTCCCCCGGACCCCCCCCCCCCGTATTTCGCACACTGGGCGTTATGAGGCAGGATTGTAGATTTCCCCATTATGCATGAGGGGATAAACTGAAGTCATTTGATTTCCCTTCAGAGCAGTGAGTGAAATGACCTCCCCATGTCATAGCTTCACATGCAACGAATGACTCAACTGAGCATAAATTACAAGGTCGGGAGAATGGCAAACTTTATACATTCACAAGGATATGTAAAAAAACATCCAGTTTCACGCTTGGGACGATTACATTTAAAATGCAATCGGTTACAACTAACAGATTACTTAAAAATATGCATAGAATGAAGTTGTTGATTACATATGAAGTATTACTATATAGAAGTGATCGTAAACTGATTACGGTCTGTCACTTTTAGATTACCCCAATATCAAATGCAATGCAAATAAATACAATAAATAGTCATTCTTAAGTGTATTATGTAGAACAATGTTGACTTAAAAACAAGATATTTAGTAATCTGTTACTCTCCAAAGCAGTGGCGGCACCAGGGTATGGCTGGGGTCGGCTACAGCCATACCAAGAAATGGCTTAGCCCCACCTTAGCCCCACCATGAAAAATGATGTTAAAGTAAGCAAAATAAAGTCCGCCAACTCGCGCTGAGTAAATTGCACAGACAACAGTTAGTAAGATTGATTTCAGTAGCCACTTGTCTGGAAATACCGAAGACTAGAAACGGTTTTGAAAACATCTTTGATAATGTCTTCTGGCCAATCAGAATCACGATAACGGCGTGGTGTTGTTGCAGGAAGTCCCGACGGAGAATACTTTTGCGGTAGTACATCTCTATACATCGATACAACATAACGTGTTGATAGAAATCAACACGTAATGAAATAAGACCCCACGGTTTGATGATTGATAGGTGTGTGGGCTGTCTTTCATTTTGACACACAGAACAATGGGGGCTATCCACCCTTATCCACAATGTAAAGTAATTCACACAGCCTCTTCCCTCTTCTCTGAGAGGAGCAGCAGGTTCAGCTTTCAGAACAAAGTCACAAAAAACAAAAATGGCATTCATTTTTTTTAAATGTGTAGTAATAGATTTATTTATTTTTCTTCTCAAGAGAGTACCAGAATGTGTATTTTATGTTAGTATTTCAAAAAATCTCCTGGGGGAGAACCCCCCAGACCCCCCTGCAGGGGTTGGGTTTTCAGCATGTCAACTCTTTCACCTGTGTGGAAATTGCAGGATTGGCTCCAGGTCACCCTTTTTATTTACTACAAGACAAATGTGCCTTTTTATTTCATACAGTTCAATTTGGATTGAGACAGGGAAATAATCTAAACCTCACGCGTGGCATTTCACTGTCAAGGGGGGCGATATAGCGTGTTGTAATTCTATATAGTCTATGATGTAATTACATTGCAAATACTGACTTGAGCCCCACCACTGTATGGGTTAGCCCTACCATAGATTACCCAACAAAAATACTCTGGAGCCGCCACTGCTCCAAAGCCAGGTCATTTCTAACATTGTTTCCCCCCCCCACCTTGTAGCTAGATGCTATATCAAAGTGTAGGCTAACAGCTGCTCAACAGCTTTCCTGATCTTTATTATATTTGGTCAGATTTGACAGTCTTGTTACCTCTAGTATTTTAGCACAATATGATCTATCCATTACATTTTCAGGACCCTGGTTCTCAGTAAAAAAAATGCTGGACAGCTGGAAACATTAAAGAGTTGTTAAAGTTAATAATATGGTTAGCTAGCTAGCTAAAGCTGCTCAAATCGGCCAGGACAGTTTTTCATTCACTGCTGGCTAAATTGATTTTCTCATCGGCTGGAAATGAGAGGCTTTCTTTTGTTTAAGTCTGTCTAAAATCAGAGGTTCTTTTTATCTAAATGTACTCAGATATAGCTACAGTTACTAAGGGGGTTTGGGCTTAGCAAACAATGTCTAATGGTCCATTTGAAAATGCATGCAACATTTTTTCAACCATATTTTTTCTTGCCACTTTTCACCCCCCTTTCATAAGTTCCTTCTTCATCCTTAACACCAACCTCCCTGCAGTTATCCCACAGTTCTTCCAGTTCTTAAATAATTGTGTTGGTAGTATTAATGTACAGATTGAGTGAGGATGTATGTCCTGATGTAAGTAATAGATAATAATGTTAACACTCCACTTCATGGAATCAGACCTAGTCTGGGAATAAACCTCCTCCCCCCGGGCTCCTCGTCTCTGGGGGGCTCAGTTGGGGCGCTGGGTGTTGGGCTGGGCTGGGGGCGCTGCTCACAGGTGGCCTGGGGGTGTGTGTGCCATATCCCGTCCCGGTAGGTGCAGTAACACACCGTCCGCTGGTCGATGTTCACGCGCTCCCCCGCTGGGACCACCCTGTCCCCTGCGAAGCAGTTAGGACCTAAACAAACAGGAGACATTTTGTTTTGTTCCTCAGCATAGTAAAAGCAGTCCCTTTGTGTCTCGTTTGCCCAACACAGCTATTTAACATGTTGTTTATTGTAGTGCAATTTGCACATACATATTTTCTCATATGTTTATTAGATATTTCTGCTTATTTTTGTATTCTTATTTTATTTTAACTTCCCTTTAGTCTATCTTTTTATTGCACATTCTTACTTTAACTTTCCTTGTTTATATAAACATTTTCATTCTATTTGACTTGTTTTTTGCAATGGAGCAACCGTTTTATCAACCCAATTTCCCCCCGGGATTAATATATTGTAATACATTTTACTCTGATTGTAGTGAATGTGATACTAAACGTCTTGCAGTGTCTAACCATTTTTTTTTAAATAAAGGAAGATATTATAGTTGGATACAGTCAGCTAAAGACACAAAGACAGGAAACATGGAGTAACAGCTAGCTAACATGTTCTATAAAGGTAATTTAAGTTGTACGAAACCGTAGTTGAAACAAAAGTCTCATCACTCTCATCTGTGTCATTCACCACAGCAGACTGTATGCTACTTAGCCACAAAACATTAAGTAGCTCTACAAAGATGGTTGTGGCCAAAAACAGCTAAAATAGATCATGTAGAATAATGAAGCAGTGGGTTTTTGGATGGTTCCTTCAGTTTCAAGTAAGTCAACTGCATTCTTGACTAAACCTAATTCTTTAAAGTTAGTTCAAATTCGTTATCAAATATCTAGCTAATATGCTACAAGCAACACAGGAAAAGCAACAGATACTGACTTTTATGCAAATTCAAAATGAACTAAATAATACTATACTAATAATCCCCAAAAAATCCTTCCTACAGGTGCTATTTCTTTACTCGGTGCATATAATATATATGTATATATACTGTATATATACACTATGTACGATATGATATTTTAGTAAATTCATTATATGCAGAACACCCAGCCCTTGATATCATTTGGATCGCTCAATCACAGATGGGGGTTCCTTTATTGGCAGCTACCTGTGAAACAATTACCAAAGGCAGTCAGCGGGAGGAGAGGAAGTACAGTTAATCTGATGCCAGACCCAACTGCGTTCCATAAAGCACAGCTGACATGAGGCAATTTGGCAGCAGAAAAAAATAAAAATAAAAAAACAATGACGCAACCAACCTCACCATCTGTCCATCAGAGGAGCAGTAAAAATAGACACTACAGCTTAACAATAAAGCAGCAAGGAAGCACGTTCATGTGGTTATTATTTTCATGAAGAATCAATGAAATAGCCTTTTGATTATGTAGCTGCTATGGTTTTCCCATTTATCCTTTAAAAAGCAACACACAATACAAGTTATTAATAACCCCGCTGCACACATCCCAGCAATGTTAGAGAGGGACTTTACCGCCGATGGCAGTAAAAAGCATGTCTGACATAACAGGGCTGACTTTATAAGCTGCTGGGTGAACACTTACAATGACAGCCTTCTAATGGACCTGAGATTAAGTGTGTATGTGTGTGTGTGTGTGTGTGTGTGTGTGTGTGTGTGTGTGTGTGTGTGCCTGCTTGTGTGTGTGAGTGGGATGGGATATGACAGCATGTGTTTATGCTCCAGCAACTTCCCGTAGAAGGGACTGATATCGATTTTATTTGATGCGAAAGATGTCGGCCATGCTCGCGTAATTTACATGCTTTCACCTGATCACTTGGGTTTGGGTGGACAGGCAAAGGGGTGAGCAGGGAGTGAACATTTTTTGATTACCAATTAGCGTATTTCAAAGTGTTTCTTCCCATGTTTAGTCCCTTGTGGCTTTTTTATTTTACTGCCAACAATGGCTATATTTATGTTTGTTTACCTTTCTCCTGCCTCAATTCATAAAAGGAATGCTCTTCCTATACAAGGTGACCTGACCATACTCTAGGAATGGGTTGACTCTTGGGAGATGTGCTTCAATGCTAGTAAGCACTACAAACTACTTACTAGCAGATCAAGAAACCCAAAAACTATACTGTATGTGGCGAGGCGTTAAAAGATGTCAGGCTTACCTTGGGGTTGAACATTGCTGTTAAGTAACTAAGTACATTTACTCAAGTAATGTACTCAAGTACAATTTTGAGGTACTTGTGCTTGGGTATTTCAATGTTATGCTACTTTGTACTGATACTCCACTACAATTATGTAGTACCTGTAGTTACTTTGCAGATTAATCATAAACAATAGGATCAACACTTTAAGATACACCAGGATTAAATTCACAATCAGTTGAAATTAGTTCCACCTTTACCAGCTTTGATAACACTTTAATGCATCAATAATTATAATCAAAACACAATATATATATATATATATATATATATAATGAAATGGAGCAATCTGCATAATGACTACTTTTGGTACTTTAAGTATATTTTGTAGCCAATACTTTTTTACTTTTACTTAAAGGTGGGGTAGGTAAGTTTGAGAAACCGGCTCGAGATACACTTTTTGTTATATTCCATGGAATGCTCTTAACATCCCGATAGCAATGAATATCTTAAGTGCTTTGACAAAAAATCCAGTCATTTTAGCCGGCCCGGCTAAAATGACTGGATGGCCTACCTGCCTGTCAGCCTTCCATCTGTGCACAAACTTATCTCGTGCCCTCATTGGTCATGTGCGCGTTCGTGTGTGTTGGAGGAGGGGCTCTGTAAGGAAGTGGCAGATTTTCTCCGGTTGTGTATTTTCAAATTCTACGCACTCGAGCTGGTTTCTCCGAAATTACCTACCCCACCTTTAAGTAACATTTTGAAATGTTACTTGTTGCAGAGTATTCCTGCTCTTTCATAGTTCTACTTTACTTTTGATTTGAGTACTTCTTCCACCTCTGGGGTTGAAATTCACAACAGTTCGGCTAACAAGTTGACCAAATTGTAACACAGGAAAATAGTTTGCTCAACTTCTTACACCTGAATTTAAGCTGCTGATCCCCAGAATCTGAAGGAGACAGCTTTTGTGGACGTAGCACGCTTTAAACTAGAGTATGCCTGGGACCCCTACATTGATAATGACAATGATGCTCTTGAACAATATAAGGAAGAGGTCGATATATGTGGATTACAGGGGGGGGTAGCAGTGTTGAATTTGGTGGAATTGACGGAAAGGAAATTATCGTCTTGGTTAGTCCTCTTCTTCAAGATTGTTCAAAACATCTCAGCTGTTGTTGCCTCGTTGCACCTAGAGGCTGTCAGAAGGGCAACCCAGAACATTTACTAACACTCATTCTTTCCAGAGTGGAACCTGCTGCCATTAAAAGCTGTTAACAGAGTCCGTGGACTGCTTCCGGTAAACATTAAGAGACATTTAGTGTGGATTATCCATCCCCCACGGAGCATGATACCTCTGGGGTTTGCTTAGTATTCAGCCAGATCCAGATACTGTTTTTGTTCTGTTCTGTCTTGTGTTTCCTGTGTTGCATAATGGACTAAACTACAACTGCATTTGGTTGTGTAACCCTGTGTTGCAAAAGGACAATGACTGATCCTACAATCCTTTAGTGGCTGGCTGGTGCACATTGATGACACTGTTTCCAGTTGAGAGGCTTTGAGTGGATACTTAGATTTCAATCCAGTAACATGGCCAACATGTTGTAATGCTTTAATTTATGTAATTTAAAGTTGATTATTTGCTTAAGAAAAAGGATTATGAAGAAGTATAAAGTCGTATAATACTTTTTACAGATACTGAAAACAATCACGTTATTCTTCACTGAAAAAAAACTAAAAGTGTTCTAAGGTTTGTTTGTTTCTGACCGTTTAAAGGTTTGTTTAAAGCTTGTGTCAGATGATCTTATTACTATTAATCTTTGGATTTAACTCAATAGAGTAGTGCAGTGATGACGTTTTTGTGTAGGCCAACCCAAAAGTTAGCATCGCAAGGGCTTCCTCGCTTCGACTGAAAGCAATGGGACTTTTTCGATTGGCTTTGGAAAAATATTTGGAAAATCTGTGAAGTACAAAAATGCTAACTCATTTTTGGGTTTAACACTCAATCCGGCACCATTCTTTATTATACATATATTTACGAACTTGAATGTAATTTAAAGAAACGTAAACGTGCACTATGTATTTTGTGCCACTAGGGGGCACTCAATCAAAACAATACATATAAAAAACGCTGCAAGAAGCTCAAAACACAACAGAAACTGGGGACACTCAAAAGTGACGCACACAGCTGGGACACTTGTTGACGTTCGGGGATTATGAAGTTAGCTAACTGCCTCTGTCACTAAAAACTAAGTTTTATTGGCTTATAAAAAGTGATCTCATGATTCCTTCGGATATTATTTCAGATCTGCTGGAAGCTAGCTCACGTAGCTAACCTAGTCATTTCAAATATACTGACAAAACACTTAAATGCTGCACATGTTTCTTCAAGTTGGTGATTTTTTTCTAAATGCTGTGCATGTGTTGTCAAGTTGGTATAGATGTTTTCCTCATTTGGCACATTTGTGATTCTATATTTACATTGTTTCTAAAGTGGCAGCGTGTTTCTCCTAATTGAAGTGTTTTGGGCCATTGTCGCGCGTTTGCACCTGTCGGCTACCATAAGTATACTTTTAAAATGGCATGAATAAAATCACACTAAATTAATTTCGCTGGCATGTACTTCTTTGTTTCTTCTTTATTAGTTACAAAACCACAGCTGAGTATTTTCTGGGATGATGAGAAGGGAATTGGTTTAATGGGTTAAAAAGATGTCCGGGCACTGACTGAGTCTTACCAGTCTTACAGATGGGGCAGCAGTGGTTGGGTTCGTAGGTGGGGTTGACGCAGTGAGGGGCGGGGCATTCCGAAATGCTGCAGTACACCTCTCTGTTGGCCTGGCAACGACATCGCTCACACCTCGACAACTGGAACACAATTTGAATGTCATTGACTTCAAGTTCTAAACATTTCGAATAAGTAATTGTGTACGTACCTGTAATCCCACTACTCAATCCCCACACATGTACATTTTGGTTAACAGCACACACAAGACAGCCCCTCTTTTTATTATTAAATGTTGCACATTTTAAGTTGCTTTCTGTACGGAGAAAAAAGGAATTTGTGTCAAACATACTGTTACGGTAAATGTCTAAATGTTAAAAATGCATTCCCTCAACAGGGAAAAATGCTGCTGGTAACGGTTTCCGCCACTTGGGGGCAGCACAACAAGCTAAAGCCCCGGCCACACGAGGACGATAACGGTCGTATCTGCTACAGTTCACTATCAGATAGACTGACCACACGAGGCCGACATGGAAACGCAGAAAACGATAACGATAACGGGTCCCAAGGTGGGTAGATCTGCAAACGAAACGCTCTGGGGGGGCAAACGGCTCTGTGTTTACGCCTATACGATCATTTCCTGATAACGTTGAAGCAATAGCCCCGCCTCGCCCCGCCTCTCCCCACCTCTCCTGCTCAGAGATCAGCTGCTGGGCTGTCAGAAGAGGGGGAGGAAAAGAGAGGCTCCGTTTTTTATTGTTATATTATTATATAGAGTCGTTATTCATTTGTTTTAAAGCTCAATAAATAACAAAGAAGACCTTTGACCGGCACTTTTATAATTTTGTCCAGAAGATTTAAATTTTAACGGACATGTTGACCGGCGGAAAAAAATCGAACTGAAACTCTGCCGCACGGTCCCCTCGTCCCTTGGAAGAGGCGGAGAGGTGGGTGTTTTTCATCTGCTGGTGGCAAACCGGAGAGATATACAGCAGGAGCACACGCTTGCCTCGGGGAGGGAGAAAAAGAGCCAGAGCGTCAACAGCGGAGAATAAACAGAAGGGCAACCATGGGCATGTCTTCTTCGCTGCTTTTGTGGCAGGACTACAGCGCCACTTACAGGCCTGGCATATGTACTACAGCGTCTCCAGCGCTTTCGAGCGGTCTCGTGTGAACGGACACGTTTCTGGTGCCTGTTGCGTGTGGACGGAAGACTTTTTTGATAACGATTGCGGTCCGTTTGCGTTATCGTCCTCGCGTGGCCAGGGCTTTAGAAGTTGCAGAAATGTAAGCAAACGATGGCCCAATTCCAAACCACCCCCTACACCCTACCCCTACATACTACTCCTACATACTACCCTTCCGTTTGCGCATTCGCGCGGAGGGTCCGCCACATTAAGTGCTGTTCCAAACCAACGAGTGTGGAGGGGGAGTGGGTTATCAAGCCCTCCAACAGAGAGTCTGCATCGGTGCTGACTTCACCTGCTGCCATACCTGACCGACCAACGCTGTGTGTGTCCGTCATGAAACAAGCTGTTTACTAATAGTTCCGTAGAAACATTTACTGATAAACTGCGCCAAACAAGACAGACATTTAATATCGTCATACAGATGTTAACAACTCCATTGTAACCTCATATTTGTTTTACTTAGGATCATACCTCTGTTTAGTCTAGAAAACGGTAAATGTTTTCATTTTATTATAAAGTTGTGTATATTTACAGGGACTGTTGCAAAAACTAAGAAGCTTATAAACATCAGGTTTTAAAACTAAAAGAGGTTTCTTTAAACACAATTAAAGATTTTTTTAGTTTTATTTTATTTAAGAGATGCTGATTTGAAACTGTTGTTACCTAAAGTTACGGCATTTCCTGTTTCTGCCAGAGAGAGGGGAGTTCCTCCCAAAGCCTCCTGCTGTATTTACATCCTCCATCTGAAAGGAGGGAGCCTCATTCAGCTGCGAGTGTCACTACAGACGGAGTTCACTCTGTCACGTTGTGGGAGTGGGTAGGGTGTGGTTTGGAATTGGGCCTGTTTCTTATTTACACATCCAGTAATAACCTGTACTCATATGTTATCAGACCTGGCAAACAAGTCCAATATTAACTCTGTTTTTAGCTCCATTTTGGTCTCCACCAGGGGCGTTTCCTGGACCTGGAAACATTCGGGGCTTAGCCCACAGTGGCGGCGCCAGAGATTTTCTTTTGGGGGTGCTGTGGGGTAGCTTGACGTTTCATAGAGGGTGCTCAAACATGTAGGGCTTCCCATACGGGTGCTACAGTTGAATGTTCTACTGCAACACTCCCCACACGCACATACACAGTACACCCGCGACTGTTACAATGAAGGCTCGATAATCAACTCACAGCATAAGGTGTAAGCAGGGGTAAAGTGGGTGGACCTAACATCCTCTAGGGGGGTCCTCACCTCCTCTAGGGGGGTCCGGGGGCATGCTCCACACGAAGATTTCTTTTTAAATATTGAAGTTAAAAGCATTCATCTGGTGCACTTTGAGAGCAAAATGAAGAGATCTATGGATACCTCTCTCAACATCGATATGAAACTGAACTGTAAACAGATTTACTTTTTCTTTTACAAATCACCCCCCTTTTAAACTGTATTCTTGTTTTACTGTCATATAGTATTTCATAACTGTTTTTCATTTATTCTCTTATTTTTTTTATAACTATAATGATCGTATAAAGGTGTGCCTCGGAAATAATCTTTTACATAATTCATGACCAAACCGTTTGAGACCCACTGAGATAACTTAGACTAAAGTTAACTATCTAAACACTCAGAGAGTCCTTTAGCTCACCTGAGTCTCTCAGTCTGAGAGGAGAGGACTCTCCTCCAGCTTGTTGTGGAAACAGCTCCTAATGTCCATTAGTGCAGCTAGCTAACCAGATGCTAACAACACGGTCCCTGCCCCATGGTCCCTGCTGGCACCGGTGCACGCTCTCTTTCTCTCTCTCGCTCGCACAATCACACTAAATGCGCTATTGCCACACACACACAGAGCCGAGCTTGAATGAAACTTATACCCCTTTCACACCAAGGCTTTTCCTGTTCTAGCTCCGTGCTAGAGCTTTTCTGGTTCAGAACCGGTTCTTCGGTTCAGCTCCCGCTCTGTTCACACCGCTCAGAGCCCGACTGGTGCTGCGTCATTGCGTCATCGTTTGCGTCATGACGTAACCGTTTGCGTAACTGCTTCATAAAGTGAAACCGCGCGGAAACCCCTCACATCGAAAACAACAACAATGGCAGATTGTATTGAAGCGCTACTCGTTTTGGTTTTGCTCTGTCGAAACGAAATGGAACAAATGGGACGACTTTACTACCAACTTTAGTCGTTAAATGCTACATTCAGGACTTCTTTACAATCATCATCATCAACTTCAACGACGATTCGGTAGGAGAAAGAAAGTAAATATACGTCCTATTCGATGGCGTTAGAGCTAGCTGTTGTTAGCCTCTGCATGCGCCAAGCTCAAAATACCCAGCTTTGCAGCATTAATTACTATGGTATAACATTAAAACTGATGCCCCTGCCCCTGCTTGCTTTCTAGACCGACAACTTGTTGGTGCTTGAAACAAACCGGATTCCGGAGCTTAGAGGCGTCTCCGCTGCGGTGTGAACAGGAAAAAACTGTGCTTTTCAAGCTCCAGCTCCGAACCGGCCCTGGAACCGCGTTGGTGTGTAATGGGTAACAGAGTCCCAGAAGTATTTGTATTGCCATGCAACTCTCTGATTGGTCTGGTGTCTTGCCTCTGTTGCATTCACTGGACATGGGAAATTACAATCCTGCCGTGCTCTCTAGTGTCATGATGAGGTTCAGGTAAAGCACGGTTAATGTATTACATTATTGAGGGAGAATTGTCCGGGGCTACAGAAAAAACATTCGGGGCGCCAGGCGACACCACTGGTCATGAAATGTACACTTGATATGAACATAACAAACACATTTCACAGAATGGTAGGGTGTGCAGCCATTGGGATAATCCAGCAATAATAATAATATTACAAATATTCTATATCCCAAAGTCTATGCAAACCTTATGATAATGATCTAAACCTGTCCCCCGAGCCCTATTCTATTGAAACTCTCTTTTAAATGCATTATACAACTTCCTTTAAATCATTTCTTGTAAGATAGCATGTGACAAAAATAATTGAAAATATACCCAGAAGCCACACACAAGTTTAAATGACACAAAAAGTATAATTAAGTACAACTTTGAGGTATTTACCTGAGTATTTACTGTACATGTTGTACTTATTTACACTTCTATCCCACTACATTTATCTCACAGCTCAGAAATGTGTTCAGATCAATATTAAAAAAGCACACATTTATAACGTTTTGTATATTATGAAACTCCCCATAAAGACAGATATAAATCAGAAATACAAATTGGAAATAGATAATAAATGAACACTTTCAATGGATCCATTTTCCCATATGGTTCATTGTGGTATATGAGTAATGCAATCTTTATGGAACAAAAAGCTAAAAAATATATATTTATAGTAAGTACCACAGGTGGAAGAAGTACTCAGATCTTGTACTTAAATAAAAGTAGAAATACCAAAGTGTGGTAATACTCTGTTACAAGCAAAGGTCCTGTATGTTACTCAAGTAAACAATACCAAGTAATGGCATCTAAATATACTTAAAGTGCACCCATCATGCTATTTTTAGGCAATAGCATAGGTCTCAGATATATAAAAATATATAAAAAACATGTCTATGAAGTGTTTTGCTCAAAATACCAAACGGATCACCCATTCTAGCCATGCCTCATATCCCTCTATTTCACTTCCTGTTTCAAAAGTGCTGATTTGGGGTATAAAGCTTTAAAAAAAAAAAGAATTGATAAAAAAGAAAGGAGGGGGCTGAGCTCATGCGGGAGATGCTACCGGCAGATACTGCGGTGATGAAACGCCATATCATGGATTATCAAGGATTATTTCTGAACAGGGGTGGATCTACCGGGGTGGCATGGGGTGGCAACTGCCACCCTAAAAAATGTGCGGTCTACAATTACAGAGAAGAGACTGTCAAGTTTGGCTGTACTCAGCATTGAATCGAAACGCACTAAAGCTTTGGATCTTAATAAGTTTGTGAGGCGTTTTGATGAA